AAAAGGCCTTTTCTAGAGACGAAGTAGTGCAACGGTGAACAATCTCGGAGGCTTACTGTTATACGCCTCCTATAGGCCTTGTCTGGAACCAGCTGCTCCGCCTCGTATCAGCTGACCAATGACGTTGCTCAAAACAATTCCGTATAAACCGGATACAGTTCGCGAGTCATATGACTGCTTCGCTGCGACAAAGTAAGTTGTAGAAATTTATTGTCCGTTAGTAATAACGCGATATATATGTAAAATACTAGAGTTGTACGTGCACTTTTCGTTAGCATTGATCGTGTTACGTAGTTGAAGGCTTGACAACTTTAAAAATTCATGTTATCATGGGGATTAGACATTTTCGAGTGATTCCTATATCCCCCTTTCTACAGTACTTTCCCCACTTAGTCCAGAACCACTGCCCTGGCAGTGCACGTCTTCCAGTCACTCTGTGACAGTGGGGTTGACTGTAGTTAACTGTTAAGTTTTTACTGCTAGTATACTAGGATTAGGAAACATAGATAGTTTAGCCTCTAGGCCCGTTACTTTCTTTACATTATGTAACAAATGCAGAATATTTCGCATTTGTTATTGGAATACTATAAGTATAAATTATAATTACTACTACTAGTATTACTAATAATACCAGGAGTCTATCAATAATAACACCCTGATAATACCAGGGGCAGGAGTAAGATAATATAGGATATCCTATATTATCTTACTGCTGATAATACTACTACTCCGTACTCGGGTTCCCTAGCTTACCAGCTAGGGCTCTTAACCCAGGACTTCATTATGTTGACTATTGACGATTGACTCAATCTTTTTTTTATATTTGCAAAGTATAACAGATAAAATGGTGCCTAGAATCATCGTGTTAGTGGCAGTGCTGTGCGTGGCACAAGGCGCTATGCTCAGATACGATCCTGACCTCTTTGATTGGGAGGTTTTCAAACAAGTTCACGGTAATAACTTTATCCCGTTCCATAAATTTTTTGGGGGGCTGGAATTGGCCACAAATTTATACATTTTGATTTAATGAGAATGACATACATTATCACATCAGAATAAGCATGTTTGAATTGTTAAGTTTTAAGAGTTTCAAACCTCATTAACGAAAATGCTGTGCGGAATAAAAATGGAAAACATTGTTGTGTGTGCAGTCAAGAATTACATCACTGAACTGGAAGAAGCCCTAAGAAAAGAAATCTTCTATAGAAATACCAAGGTTATCATACGACACAATGAGGAGTTTGCAGCCGGCAAGCATACCTACAACATGGGAGTGAACAAATACACGGACCTGGTACGTTGTTAACACGTGACACTCGTGTTTGAATATACGTCCGAGGTTGCTACTATAAATTGAACATCGTATAGCGTTTGTTTTATGCAGCAGGAGTAACGTGTCCGATATTGTTACAAGAAAATAACACATGGTCATAGTGGTAATTTTATTGTGGGGCAGGATGCTCTGTTATTGTAATATCTGATGTTGTACATCCTGTTAACATGTACATATCATGCAGCAGCAGCAACAGTAGCAGCAGCAGAAGTAGCAGTAGTAGCAACAGCAGCAGCAGCAACAGCAGTTGCAGCAACAGAAGCAGCAGCAGTGGCAGCAGCAGTGGCAGCAGCAGTAGCAGCAGTAACAGTAGCAGTAGCAGTAGTAGTAGTAATAGTAGCAACAGCAGCAGCAGCAGCAGCAGCAACAGCAGCAGTAGCAGTAGTAACAACAGCAGCAGCAGCAACAGCAGTAGCAGCAACAGCAGCAGTAGTAGTAGCAGCAGCAGCAGCAGCAACAATAGCAGCAGCAGTAACAGCAGAAACAGCAGCAGCAGCAGAAACAGCAGTAACAGCAGCAACAGCAGTAGCAGCAGTAACAGCAGCAGCAGCAACAGCAGTAGCAGCAGCAGCAGCAGCAACAGCAGTAACAGCAACAGCTACTCCTGCGTGTAGATCGCACCCACCTATACGCAGCAGCAGCAGCCTTGCCCGTGCCCGTCCCTCACGAGTCACGACCCCCATATTGACTCCCCCTTGACTCCAACAGGAGCACAAGGAGTTTGTTCGCCTGATGAACGGATACAAGGGCCATGCGCGTAACGTCAGCAAGGCGGCCTCCGAGGGCTCCACCTACCTCAGCCCGATGTTCGTGAAGCTACCAGACAGCGTCGACTGGAGGAAGAAGGGAGCCGTGACGCCGGTGAAGGATCAGGGCCAGTGCGGATCCTGCTGGTCGTTCAGCACCGTGAGTGTTCTGCGTCGTTGTTCGTTAGTGTTTCGCGCCGTCGTTGTTCGTTAGTGTTCCGCGCCGTCGTTGTTCGTTAGTGTTCCGCGCCGTCGTTGTTCGTTAGTGTTCCGCGCCGTCGTTGTTCG